TATCAGCGACGCATTGCAAGCCTTCTTTCTTTAGATCTGGCAATTGTTTCATTTTTGTGTTAATATTCAGGTCGTGGAAACAACAACAGACAACAATGTCATTGATGTGTCATCTTTTTCAAAAACAAGTGCCGATCTTGCACTGTTGCATTCGAACATGTATTGATCTTCTCGTTCATGATAATGTGGAATTACGAAAGGTTTGTTGATTCCCCAATGATTAATATAGTTTTCCGTTTGAATTTATTCAGTATGCCGTCAAAAGCATTGTGGCAATTTGTCGGTTGCAAAAGCCTCCTCGTATTTATATAGAAAAATCTCTGAACGAAATTCTTCAGAATCAAGGTCAATCATCAGCAACTGTCATCAACGATGAATATCATCCTGGAGATCGAGAAGATAATGCATGGGTAACAGTCGATGGCTATGTTCCACCTGAAACACAAATCGAATGGGAACAAGCCTGTTTCTTGGACAAATCATTCCATGGCTACAACACATGGCCCAAGATGATCAAATATTCAATAAATAAACGAGAACGTTACTCACAAAATAATATGACGGAACAAGCAGCTATCTTATATGATCGACTTATGGATAGAAATTTCGTTAAACAATTGGCACAGTTCCTGATATTGGGCGACGACGATGATAATGATCAGACAATGTTCGATACAACTCGTTTTGCGATGTTCAAGGTAAATACAACGAATATGGAAGATAATTGTACCAAATCCAAAACGATTTTGGGAAGTTTTATGTAGGAAGCATAAAATTTTTTTTCTCCAATCATTGTGGAGCATTTATCAAGCCGCATAGAGATCGAGGCTCGATTTTGTCTCAGACAGACAATCTTTTTCTTGCTTCAAGAGTCGAATACATGACGATTTCGCTATCTTTTAGGGTCTCTTTCGGAATTTCGGCCTCGCATTTATGGACAACTTCATGGAGCAACTGTACGTGCTCATTCATCAAAAGAAGATAGAGAAACAAGAGAGGAGCCGTCAATTGGCGGCCGAAATTGTGGCCGGTATGATTCGTGGTTCAAAATATTGGACACTAGAAATGGTAGACAACATTTCTTGTCAATTTCAATTTAATAATCGCATTGTTGAAAATATTGAATTTAACTTGACGAGCTCTGGAAAAAGCTGACACCATTTCTCAATGAAGTTTGTATCAATCTCAGCAGTGATACATACTTGTACTGGGGTTCATGCTTTAAGTACGCCATGGTGAGTCGTTGTCTTACCTGTTTTGTATATCTTTTCTTGTGCTAAATAACTGATGAATCTTTAAGGAAAATCAAGATCCTCGTCGTATACATCGGACGATTCAGTTTCTTTGCGCTTTAATTAATAATCAAATGACGGTCAATACATCGAATGAAACATCCCGTTGGTATCTTATTCAACAATTGGAAATTTGTCAATGGCGCATTCCGTCCATCTGGTCTGCTATCAATGAACGCGTCAAGGAACTATTGGATCATCCATTCGACGCTGTACGAGCTCGTATGGCCACGTAAGAAACATTTCTAGCTTCCGTCCTTGATATTCAATAAAGAAAACTTCTTGTTGATCAGTCTGCTATCGTTGTCGCTCAGTTTTGACTTGGTATTGTTCCATGGAAAACCGACACGTCAACAAAATATCGATCAAATCATTGACGAAATACGTGAACGATTGCATCGGAACATGGAAATTTATGAGAAAATTTCCTTAGGTAGATCATTGTTCTCTCGGAAGTTTGTGTTGATCTTTGGGAAATTGTTTTTGTTCAAATATCGTCTTTAGTTAATGCGTCTGATCAAATCGTTGAAATCGATTCTGAAGTTCGTCAAGTGTTGAATTTTATCGACGCAGGTAGATAATGTTAAATTTATTGCTAGTCTATGTGAATTGCACACACTTTTTCTTCTTCTTATGCAATTTAGTGATAACAATACACACGAAACTTTTCTCCTTTTGTCAACAACCGATAAAACATGCAATTATCCGTATTTTCTCTTCTGTAAGTTCATTAATTGTTTGTTTATTAACAACTGATCATTTTCATTATTTATTAAGCTCTGCAAAATTGAAAGTATTGTGATCAAGGATGAACTCGTCAAATCGAATTTAACAATCACTCGATTGTATGTTGGTATGGCTTACTTGAATGTGCATTTTTTGGAAGCACTCATTCAACAATTGGAACACGTATGTTTATAAAAGATCGATTATAATAAAGCATTTGTCTCGACATACAGGTATATGCGAGTCCTTCATGGCGTGCGCGTCAAGTAGCCATTGAATTCATTCAAACTATGATTTTTTGTAATTTATTCAATGCTTGTCCTTATGCTAACAGAATACATGGCCTTGTATTCAAATCTCTATTTGATGAACAATTCGAAGTGCGAATAACAGCATCAGCAACTTTGTCAGGTCTCTATCAGTGTGGTTACATTCATGTGACTAATGAAGATCTGGTAGGATAATAATTTTGCTTCTCTTCCAGAGACATATATTGATTTGTTTATTTAAAAAGAAATATTTTTGTCTAATGAGCAAGACCAATTATTTGACAAAAATTAATAACAAACAAGTGAAATGGACGAAGGACATTGTCAAAAAACATGGCGGTTAGTATGTATTGTGTATCAATAATTCGAATTGTTAATCGTTAATTCATAACATTTGCGATCTAGATGTAGGCCTTTACTTTCATATTCAATCCTATATTTTTTAATCATTTAAAATGTAATTCAAGTTCAACAAATCTTCATCGTTTTGAACTTCTATTACTTGATAAGAGGGTACTGTGGGACAATCAGAATTCAAGTGATGTATCTAAATTAGTCTCACATAGTGTTTGAATTATGAAAAATGTATTCAAATAGATAATACTTCGTTTTCATTCTATTCAAATCAGAAATTTTGTGCATCTAGAAACAGGAGAATTCATTGCTGATGCTTCAAACAATGATTTGTACGTTAAACTATTTTCAAGAGACTAACTCCTTGAAAGTGTTATCTGGTGGATATAGAAATCATAAAAAAAATGACCGACCACACTGTTAACTGTTTAGAATCTGTCGTTTATAGTATATGTACAGTGAAATTTTTCGAGCAAATTTGTAACGTACCATCATTTTAGGTGTGTTGGGTCTCTGTGCCATCGTTCTGTCGAGTCCATATGATATTCCAACATATGTACCAGACGTAATAACGCTTCTCTGTGAATACTCACATGATCCGCATCTAATACAAGTGAGTGTCTTTTTCTAGCCGTTGTTATGTGTTACAAGAAAATTGTATTTTCAGAAATCCATTAAAGAATGTCTATCCGAATTTCGTCGCACCCATTATGACTCATGGCATGAACATCGACAACAGTTCAGTGATGATCAGCTTGCCATTTTGACTGATGTACTGATTTCGCATAATTACTATGCTTGAAAAGCTCATTTAGATGAATTTCTACATTAAACACGAACGAACTCATTATATATTCTTACTCCTTTCGATTATTTTTGTTTGATAACTTTCGATAATTTGTATTCCATCTTCCTTATTACGATCTTGAAAACATTCAAATTCTTTTTCTGCCTCATGATTTTATATGTGGAAAATCGTTGAAGAAATTTAGTTCTAAACCACTGTTATACAGAAAGTAAAATTGATCTATTTACATTTATGAGAGAATATACTCAGGATGTTCTAACGATTTCGGATCTTTTGTTAATGCAATTTACTATCCTATGATTTAGATTGTTTCTTATGAAAAGAAAGTAAAATATTCCCTATTTTGATTCAGTAATATCATAAAGTAAAGAGACAATGTCAAGATTACAAATAAATATATCTAAAAAAAATATTTATTGAAAAATCGAGATGCTGTTGAATGGATCATTCTATACACAAGATTTATTTGANTATGAATAAGGATACTCTTTATATCCACAAAATATATTTGTATAAAACAATGAAACATCAAAATCAAGACATAGCTAACTCAATTACAAGAAACTATCAATTACCCATTTCGCATTAATTTATACGTTGCTTTCTAGTACAATATTCGCTGTTCGAATGAATAAATTTCAATTAGTCTAGTTTTGATGAGAGAAATTCCTAAACTTTTGTATATGAATGAATTTATACAAATTTGAGCGACGAGATAGAAAATATCGGAATCCCAAAAATCCAGAAAAACGTTCAAAATCCGGAAGATCTAGTAACTCTGAGTGGTACTCATGGGCTAGCTAATATCTGACTGAATTTATCCTTCAGAAAAACACGAAGCAATTCTTATACAAAGAGCTCTCACTAAGAATGCATAAACGTCGGATTATATTTGTAAAATGTTTGAAATATTTGAGCCTCTCCAAGCCTAATGACTCCGCCGCCTCTGATGGGAACAAACTTGTTTTTTGGACAAATCATTTCATGGCTATAACACATGGTCTAAGGTGATCAAATATGCAATTAATAAAAGAGAACGTTGCATACGAAATAATATGCCAGAACAAGCGGCCATCTTATATGATCGATTTATGGATAAAAATTTCGTTAAACGATTAATACAATTCATGATATTGGACAATGATGATACAGATGATCAGATAACGTTCAATAAAACTCGTTTTGCGATGTTCAAGGTAAATACAACGAAATGCAGAAGATAATTGTATCAAGTCCAAAACGATTGTTGAACAGTTTTATGTAGGAAAGATAAAAATCTTTTTTCTACAATTAAATTTTTTCTTGCTTGTAGAATCGCATATGTGACGGATTCTCTATCTTCTAGGATCTTTTTCGAAATTTCGGTCTCGCATTTATGGACAACTTCATGGAGCAACTGTACGCGCTCATTCGTGAAAAGATGAAAGAGAAACAAAAAGGGAGTCATCGAGTCGAGTAGCAGCCGAAATAGTGGCCAGCATGATTCGTGGTTCAAAATATTGGACCTTAGAAATGGTAGACAATGTCTTTGGTCAATTTTAAAGTAGCAAATGCATTTTGAATAAATGAATTTAGCTTGATGAGCTGTGGAAAAATTTGATAGAATTTTTAAATGAAGTTTGTAGCAATCTCAGTGTCTGATACACTTTTGTACTGGGGCTCCTGTTTCAAGTATGCCATAGTCAGTTTGTTTTTCCACCTGTTTCTTGTAGCCTTTCTCGCGCTAAAAAATTAACAAATCTGTAAGAAAAATGAAGATCCACGTCGCATGCATCGATCAGCACAGTTTCTTTGTGCATTGATCAATAATCAAACGATGGTTAACACTTTGAATGAAGCATCACGTTGGTATGTCATTCAACAGTTGAGCATTTTTCAATGGTACGTTTCATCCATCTGATGTTTTGTCAATGAACATATCAAGAAACTTTTGGATCATCCGTTCAAAGCTGTACGAGATCGTATGACTATGTAAGAAACATTTCCAACTGTACCTGTTGATGTTTCATAAAAAAGAAACTTATTGTTGTTCAGTGTTTTATCGCTGCCGCTCAGTTTCGACTTGGCATTGTTACATGGAAAATCGATACGTCAACTAGTATCGATCAAACCATCGGCGAACTATGCGAACGACTTCATTGGGCCATTGAACTCTATGATAAAACACCACTAGGTAAAACATTGTTCTCTCTGGCTTTTCTAATGTCGCTTCTATTTAATATGTCTGATCAAGTCATTGAAATTGATTCTGAAGTTCGTCAAGTATTGAATTTCATTGAGACAGGTAGAGATGTTAAATTTTGTTACTAAACAAT